CAAACACTCGTTTTTGGTGTCCTGGAGACACTGAATCTACCGGTGCCCTCCTCAACACTCAGTGATAAACATTCGCGACGCTATAAACGAAAGCGTACATCATCACATGTGGAGCTAAGTAGCTAAACACGTAAATATGGCTTACCTTGGTCAAAAGTGGTCTTCAATGGCATTAAAACGATAAAAAAACGATGCTGCAGTTAATCCATAGGTTCATCCTATGTGTCTGTGCCTTCTTTGAAATTATTTCTGATAATCCATAAGCAATAAAACGGATTTTTAGTTTCCAAACTCCAGAAGGAGAAAATCTGCAAATCCAGTTTCAGTTCTAGACGCGTAGCCCCCACCTTTTCTATTTACAACGAATGTGTATGTAAGCCTCCCCCTTCGATTCTATTGGCTCTAACGGTCACAAGGGTATGTCAACCAACCAAATCGAGCAAGGGGGGCCAGAGATAGGTCAAATCCACCCAAATGACCCCAGATGGCCCAGTTTTTGGCTAAATCTCTCTAAAAAGGTCAAATTTCACTTGTTTTGCATCAATCTTGATACAGGGTACTTATTATATGTTGTACTTTGGATTCCTAAAGCTTTTAGTCTACTAACCCATCATCCAAGGGTAGTTTTCACTATCTGTAAAAAATAATTTTTGGACGGACACTATAATTTACAGTTTTTTACTATGTAAAATCTGAATTTTCTTTAAAATAAAAAACATTTATATTGATTCTGACACTTCTACATCCAACTCACAGGTTTATCATTACTTTGAGAAAAAAGATTATTAATTTAACCCTTTTAGAAGGGAAGATATGGTCATTTGTTCTGGGAATGTCATTTTCGAGCCTGAGACCTGAAAAACAGGCTCAGAGTGGAACAGGTTAAGTCAATGGAAAATGGTCCAAACTGCACCACACTTCAGATGATGGCTAATGGTCCGGCCCTCAACAGCTCTACGCCAATTATGGGATGTCATCATATGCCGTTTCCATGGCAACGCATCCCTCGCCATAAAACACGGTGTCGCTGTAACTCCAATGGACACGGTCCCATCGTCCCCCAATCTTCACTTTTATATCACCGGCACCAGACTTCAGATGATGGCTAATGGTCCGGCCCTGAACAGCTCTACGCCAATTATGGGATGTCATCATATGCCGTTGCCATGGTGACAGATCCCTCGCCATGAAACACAGTGTTGTCATAACTCGATGGAAAATGGTCCAAACTGCACCAGACTTCAGATGACAGTTAATGGTCCGGCCCTCAACACCTCAATATGGCAATAGTGAGTTTTCCTCAAAAGCTGTTGCTATGGCAACGCATCCCTCGCCGTTAAGCACGATATTGCTATAACTCCTGTGTAAATGGTAAAAAAGTGTTCAAATTTCCCATGTGTGCTAACCGTCAAGCCCTCGACACATATATGTGTCAGTTTTGAGATTTCGTCAAATGTCGTTGCTATGGTAACAAAATGGTCGCCGTGAAACACGGTTTTCTCATAACTCCAGTTAACATGCTCCAAACGGCCCAAAACTTCACAGGTTTGATAACGATGCAGCCCTCAACACATCTAGGCGTATTATGGGGTGTCATCAAATTCCGTTGCCATGGCGACAGATCACTCGCCATCAAACACAATGTTTATGATACTGCTGTAACTCCCATGTACGTTGTCCGATCGGCCTGAAACTTCCCACGTTTGCCAACGGCCGAGTCCTTGAGACACCTAGACACACACGTTGACGTGCGGACAACAGCCTGCGGAGCGTCGAAGACCCGCTCAACGCTGCTTGCAGCTTTAATTATACTTATCATTCAGAAGCTTTTTGTGTGTGTTTATGTTTTACTGAGTGCTTATAGGCTATTTCCATCCCAGTATTCAGTTAACTATTTATTTGTTGTGCACATTACATAGACTAGCTAATATTCTACCTACTGCTTGGGACTTTGAGTCTTCAAAATGTCCAATGTCACAGACTGGGACTTACTTTAGAGTCCGTTGTATTTACATTCAGTATGACTTGTTATGATTCAATGTGAAAGAGTATACTGCTCAATAAATAATTATCACTTCACCACCTCTCTTGACATCTAGGCACTTGAGAGTGAGTCAGAGGCAGAACACAGGGACAGTGGAGAGAGGTCCATTGCTGAGGTGAGTGATGAAAGGGAAATGACAGTTGAGAGTAAATTGTGATGTGGACTCTCATCCCAGGATTTTAAGGAAATCAGTGGGGATATTGAACAGGAAACATTTCAGTCAAGGGGCATCATATGACCAATATAAACAGAAGAGCAACATTTATTTGAACATTTAAGTCAATGATACCATGCCTAGGTGAACTTAACATCCGTATGGAGTCAGATCAGTCTCAATATTAATAAATGCTCACAGAAGGATTCACAAATGTATTTTGCGATTTATATATAAATGACTCTCCACAACAATATCTCTCAATGCACTCACAAATATTTATTGTTGTATATAAATGTACAAAAAATGGGCATTTAAACTGCTTTTTATTAATTAAAAGACAGCTCTGAATTAATAATCAAATATGTTTCCTTTCTTTACTACTGGATGAAATTACAAAATGTACCCATCATTTTCCTCATGCTAGTATAGCCACCTAAAAGTATCAAACCACCTGTTAAAATGCACCAGAATACAGGAAATCTATATATTTTTTCACCCCCCGTTAAAAATGTCCCCCCCACATTCAGGATGCTTCCTACGCCCATGAGTATCTCTCTGTTTGATGTTACTGACACTGCTGAATTGATGCGGCCGTATTTCCCGTTTGCGTGGTCAAGTCAGCATCGAGGTTTTTTTCTTCAAATCTTCAAAATATTAAAATAGCTTGGAGGTTGAGGATTGATAAATACTATTTAGAGTACTTTTACTGTGTACTCTGTCAAACTCCCCTCTTGAGTACAATAATGCATGTTTTCTGCTATCTTTGATGAGAGATAAAATGATGTTCTGCCATAAATTCTTAATGAGAGTGATACTGTTTGACTCAGTATACTAATTTAACTACACCAACAAGTACTTTTTCAGGTATTCTTTTTCAAATTCCCCTCCTTAGTACAAGAATGCATCTTAAATAAAAATGTTTCATTAGACTTATATTGTTGGACAGAGTATTTTAAGAGGATATGGTAGACATGATATCAGCACTACTTCCAGTCAGTACTCCAGCAGCAGCTTTTACCCCTTGGGAAATCTTCAGAGAATATCCTGCATAGCTGGTCTATCCTTCAGCAAAGTGACACACCCTGTCACTCTTGTTGGCCTCTTATGATGATGCTGTCTTAACCTTTAACAGCCAGCGCCACCATTTGGTAGAGCACATTTTGTGTTTTGATATCTTGTTGAAAAATAAATAAAAAAGTGTAACTCCATCTGATTCAGCCAGCTCTATCGTTTGGTTGACATGTTATGCACAAAACAACCTCTAGATGTCACTGTGGTTTGAACAGAATGCCCTTCAGCTAGCTTCCACTGAGGAAGTTGGCATGCTAAAAATCACTCCTGAAGAAATCACTCTTTTTGGTCAAATATCATTTGTGACATATCTTAGTGTCAGAGCACTGACTGAACATTATTATATAACTTGATGCACAAAACATTTTTGTAACAAGGGTGTAATTATTTTTGGGAAAATATGCTCAACCAACCGGTCGAATTGGCCTTCATATTGTAAACTAGCAATATGACTTTTTCCAATAAAATATGGCAAATAGCTAGATTCATGGTAATATTACTAAATCTAGTACTGCCTTATGAGTCTCAGAGTGAAAGAGTGATAATAATTTATATAGCACCTTTCATGCATGACATACTGTACAGCCCAAAGTTGCACACAGATGAGCAAGTTAGGCCAACACAGGATATAGACATTTGCTGTTAGGCCAGTTGTTTGTTGTTAGGCCAATTCAGCATATACAGTAAGATGAGCACGTTTTTTTTTATTATGAAAAACACCAAAAATCACTTTTTTCAATTTTTTTTTTTTTACAATTATAATTTATTATTTTTTATGAATATATATGGTTGTATATATTGCTCATCTCCCATAAAAGAAAAAAATGTATTTGAGTTTGTGTTTTATTTGAGTTTGATGCATACAAAATACTGTAGCCTACTGTATGATGATTGTTGAAAATGCACTTTTGCCAAGGCCAGCACAACCAGTTGGTAGAGGCTCAAAAAAACAAAACTGTGTGGTCAGTCAAAAAAAATAAAAATGGTTTGTGGTTATTTGTGTCCTATTTGATAATAAAAATGCAAAGAAATAATTTTTCCATAGATTTCTTCTTGGTCTGGCAATTAAAGGGTTAAAATATGATTATTTCTCTGCCCCTAGTTCGTTCCTCGCAGATTCTTCAGTCTCATCAGCCTCATCTTTCCATCTGTCCCAGTCAACGCATCAGCCTCCAGCACACTTTCAGTGTCTGACTCCATAGAGATATTGTCCTGATGCTGTACAAGGGTGATGCCCCATGATCAAAAAATGACCCCTGTAGAGTCTGAGTGCCTGAGTGCTACATGTCACTTGTTAGTTGCTTTTACCTTAAAGCAACTTACATACACTCAATACTGTACACTGTAAAAAAAAAGACAGGGGATTTTACAGTAAATTACTGGCAGCAAAGTTGCCAACAAGTTACTGTATTTTTACTTTACAGTAGCGATCTTGTATTTTGTTTACAGTATCAAAATCAGTGCTGTATTTTGATATTTTGTATGTTGCTGTAACCTCAAAAACAATATTTTACTGTGATTATACAATACTGGTATTGTGAAATAACAATACATTACTGTTCTGTATACAGTATAATTTTACAGTAGTGTATGCATTAAAACAGTATATTACTGCAGTTTTCTCTTTAACCAATTTTAGATCCTTGTCTCATTTGCAATAGGTGCTACCTGAAACGATAAACAAATACTGGGATACAATTTAAATAAAATATGTTTATTGATTTCATTTCAATATTAAGTTCAATATGAAAAACATGGTAAAATAGGACAGTTCATAACAGATATAAATATAACAGTTCATGACAGATATAAATACAACAGTTTATGACAGATTACATTGGACAGTTTATGACAGATTCAAATACAAAATCACAAGTAGTGAGGTCACAACATCAAATCACAACAGTAAATCTTCTGTAATTATGTGAAAGTAAAAGGGTCCCCTGCAAGAGAAGGGGACAAAATGGAAAAGGCAGCATATCATTGAAAATGTTTTCTACTTCAAAACTGAAAAATTAAATACTATAGAGATCATACATGTATGAAGCACACATACAAAACATGTGGAATTAAAATACATGTTCAGCTTTACATGTCAAAAGTAAAGTGTCAAACCTTACCTAACATGATGAGCCTTGGTGTGTGTGGTAGGGTCAGTTGAGCCTCAATGTCATCCTTGGTTGCAGTCCTACACACACACACACACACACACACACACACACACACACACACACACACACACACACACACACACACACACACACACACACACACACACACACACACACACACACACACACACACACACACACACACACACACACACACACACACACACACACACACACACACACACACACACAATAATATGTTCAAATGAATGCACAATACAATGTAATATTTGAAAGGCATAAATTATTACATTTTCATTGCACAAGATCATAATGTATAACTCCACTTACATCAGCCAAAAGAAAAAGAGCCTCTTCTTTTTCCTTGAAATGTGCCATCATGACCAGAATTGCAGAGAGATCTTGGTTGGAGGATTCCTCCTCGATTTGGGTGAGGACATTCTGAATCTCTCTCCTCCATTTGGTCCGCTGACTGTTGAAGCTGTTTAGCCATATAATACTGCTACTCAATCTCGAAATAAAATACGAACTTTTAGGGGAAAAAAACGGCAATAATAACGTTTATAAATCTAAATAATCCGTTAAAGGTCACAGCGGTTCTCTCCTCTTGCTCCTGATATTTTCACCCCGAAATATTGTACAGTAACAACAAAATTATACTGTAACATTACAGCACTATTTACAGTATTGCTGTAATATTACAGTATAATGTTTTAATTGCTGTATACATTTCCCGCCTAAGGATAATATTCCCACAATGCAGCAGCACTATGTGCAGCAATACTGTAATGTTACTGTACATTGTACAGTAACATTACAGTATTGCTGTAATATTACAGTATGGTTTTAAAGTGCTGTATACATTTCCCGCCTAAGGATAATATTCCCACAATGCAGCATAATGTACAGTATCACACTGTATTACAAATTCAAAGTAAATTACTGTGGGTAATACAGCAATTTACTGCCTAGATTACAGATTTTTTTTACAGTGTAGACAATCCTCACAGGAGCTATTTGGGGTGAAGCCCAGGGACACAACGACATGTTGACTGCAGTGGAGATTGAATCAAAGATCAACGCATGATCAGCCACAGCCTCCCTAGCCATATTATGTCTCTCATTAATGTTACAACACCCCTTATAACGATTTTCTTTCCTTTATTCTCTTTTCTCTTCTCTTGACTGAATTAAAAAGTCCAGTCTTTAAGTAATATTTGAAGTCCTTTTCCTGCACCTTTTTAAGGCTATGTTTGCAATATGTATTCAAAGGTCACTTATTTAAATAAATGAATATCTGAGGTTAGCAAACAGATACTGCCTTTATCTAGAGAGCCAATGACACCCATGAAGAATTGATCCTCCTGCTAATCTTTTCATCCGCTGTATTAATAAAATTGCCATGTGTTTTCAAATTGAAAATAAGGCACCAGAACATTATACAAAATATATATATATTTTAAAAGGGACCCGTAAGGCTTAATCAATGTTATATATAGATCTTTATATAATATCAATATTATAATAAACTTCAACCAAAGTCAATTTCAGGAGTGGTGTTTGATACAGTTTACGTTCAATTTCAACTATTTTAGTCTTATATTGACTCAACCTTTATAAATAATTTACTTTAATTTAGAAAAGGTTTTTCTAAGAAAAATGTACTAAAAGATTGAAAAATACAAGTTGAATAGGACGATGTGGATCTATTTTCTCTCACCTTGTAATTACACAATCAAAGAATCTATAATACGCCTTTGGACTTCACTCACCAAAAAACATTTGTTTTTATGTTTTGCATTTGTACTATTTTGTAGTCAATTTGGACAAATATCTGTCGAACTAAAAATATCCTATGATTGCATAATGGTGTGAATATGTATACCCTGCCCACTCAGTATTATTTTAGATACAATTTATATTTTAAATGTAATGAAAAAGCCAACTCAATAGTGTGTTAAAAATAGACTTTAGGATATTGTAAAACAAAAAACTGCTATATAATGTATTCTTAACCCTCCTTTATCTTCACATTTGCTTTACACCCTCTATCCTTGGTGGTCATTTTGACCCCAGGAGTTTAAAGCTCAAGAAAATGATCATATTCAAAATTGTTACCAAAATGTACGTTTCAAGTACTTTATGTTTCTTAGTTGACTATCTAAATATCCATTTAAATAAAACACTACTAGCCATTTTCATTACATTAGCAGCACTAAACGTACCGTTTTTCACGTGGGGAGCGGGACCAAGATAACTTTCCATTTTTGGAAAGTAATGTTTCTGCTTGTGTTTGACAGACAACAGGAGCATCTGCATGGGGTATTCAGGGTGGACAATTTGACAGAGGATTTCTCTGAAAGTACAAAATAAAAGTATTTTATAGTCTTTGCGCTAGTAGTCACTACTGAGTCCAAAATGATCAGTCTTCGAACTTAAAAGTATTTGTATTGCTCGGAGTCGTCACATATAGCAGCAAGACAGGCATTGTTGTACCATGGAGTGGACTTTGACAGGAGAGTATCAAGAAGTACACAGTAAAAGTATTTCATAGTATTTGGGATAGTTGTAACTACAACTGATTCCAACTTCATCAGTCTTATGAAAAACGTATGGCCAAAAATAATGTTATCGCTTGTCATTTTTGCACTGTGCAAAGAGTTAGAACCTTTATTTTGAAGAGTACAGCGCAAGCATAGGGCAAACTAGCTAATCAGAAGCAAGGAGGCACTGGAGACACACCCACCTATGGAAACGAAACATTGAGTGGTGTACTTAGAAAAACGAGCTGAATTGCCGTTTTTCCGTTTTGGGGCAAAATTGAAAAACAAAAAAACGACCCGTTTCTGTTTTTTGTTTTGTTTCAATTAGAACTAAAAAACAAACGGTTAAAACGTACCTTCGTCCACACGGACCCCCTTAGCCTTGGTGAAGAAAAATCTTTCGTATTACCCTCTGTAATAAATATAAATCCTATGTGCTACAGTATGGCTAACGCTTTATACAATCCGGAGATGTGTCCCTCGCGGCTCTCGGTTCTACGTCACTCTATGTTGACGTGTGGCTCGGCAGTCTGGTAGCTAGCCTAGCCCCGCACTTGCTTCTTGGCAGCGGTTGTTTAAAGAAAGTCCTGACAGCTGACTCTTCTTGGTAAAAAATCAACTTTAAACAATGGCGGATGAGTGGGAAGAAATCCGCCGGCTTGCTGCTGATTTTCAGAGAGCACAGTTTGCTGACACCGTGCAAAGGTAAGAAATTGTTAGCAGCAAAGCTAATGTTGGGTAGCATTAACTTTCATTTAGAAGTAACGCTGCTAAGCTAGTTTTTAAATGTCTCCTTTCTGTGAACTGCTATCATTATAAAACCAAATGTAGACGTACAATTAGCAGGTCAACGTCAGCTATGACACGTTCTTAACCTTTTGCAGGCTATCGGAGAGGAATTGCATTGAAATTATTACAAAACTGGTCCAAGACAAGAAGCTGGATGTGGTGCACACCCTGGACGGAAAGGAGTACATCACCCCGGCTCAGATCAGCAGGGAGATCCGAGATGAGCTCTACGTGCACGGAGGTCAGTGTGACAGCGTCCACACATCATACTGTCTGCTTAGCTCTCAAAGACCTGCCTCATGGCCTGGAAACCATGCATTACACTGTGAGCTGTAGCATATTGACAGTTGGGAATGATAACAGTGAATTGTTCCTGTCATTCTATTTAACAGGGAGAATCAACATCGTGGACCTCCAGCAGGTGTGTTAAGCAGGTTGAAATATGGCTGTGTGTACCAGCTGAGTCCTGTACCATATGTACCATATGTTAGACACACAATCCATGTTACCTTCATTAGTAGATTTCCTATGAGTTGGTTATGTCTGGATCTTCTTATCTTCAGATCATCAATGTGGATTGGGTCCATGTGGAAAACAGAGCAAGCGACATTGCTAAATATGATAAAGGAGTTCAACTTGTACTGGGACAACTTATTGATGAGTGAGTATTCAGTGACAGTTGTCCTTCGATGAAAAGTTATTATCTCTGTTTCTTGGACAGTAACTAAACAAAAACAATCAATAGAGGTAGACTTTAAAGAACACTTATTCCTTGTTTTCAAATGTAACTAATTGAAGATCTCAATGAAAAGGTCAATGAAAAGCACATCCTGGGCACATATCTTTGAACTTTGCTGCTGATCTTGTCATGTCTGCAGCTCGTACCTGGACCGCTTGGCGGAGGAGGTGAACGACAAGCTGCAGGAGGCCGGTTTGATCAGTATCGCAGAGCTGTGTAAAAACTACGACCTCCCAGGAGATGTCTTGAATGAGGTGAGTGTCACCACTGCCAGCCTTTTACTGCACGTGTTCATCACAGAAGATGTAATATTGATATTGATAAGTGTGTGTTTTGTGATGTACCTCAGGAGCTGTCAAAGCGTCTCGGGAAGCTCATCCAGGGAGAGATGGACGAGTACAACAGGGGGGTGATATTCACTCCAGCTTTTGTTGCTCGTCACAAAGCCAGGATACGAGGTCTGTTCAGTGCCATTACCAGGTAAACATGGCTCATGCATTTCACACATCAGGCATTATGCAAGATGTTTTACAACAACTACCTGTCCTGCAGTGACCAATTTTTAATCGTAAGAAATGACCACGTTTATGAACAACTTCTTTATAGTCATATCTTAGCAGAGCAGAATTTACGACTTACGAAAGTGGACAGAAGAAAATGTTTTGATTGACTCTGTTTTTTTTCTGTTTCTGTGTCCTGCAGGCCGACACCTGTCAGCAGCATGATCGCAGCTTTTGGCTTTCAGGAACATCTTCTGTACTGTAAGCAGAGAGTTTGATGGTTCTGTGTTTTATGGTGGTAGTGTGCCTCAGTGTCTGATTCTGTGATGGCTCTGTTGTTGCCAGCGGTCCTGGAGGAGCTGGTGAACACCGGCCGTCTGAAGGGCAGCGTGGTGGGAGGCCGGCAGGACAAGGCTGTGTACATCCCTGATATCTACTCCAAAACTCAGAACGCCTGGGTGGACGCTTTCCTCAAGCAGAACGGATATTTGGGTATGGGTTTTTTAAATTATTATTATTACTATCAGCATATTTTTGGAACATATCTTCCAAAAATGTAACGGTAATCTGATTCCTTATTTTTTTAAGTATATATATATATATAGGTCTAGTTGTTCTTTAGAAATGTTATTTCCATAATGTTACATGTACCATTTTAAATCTCAGGGAGGCGAGTGATGTATTTTGGAGGTTATTAATACAATAATAGGTATTACTATAATTGTGTGTGTGTGTGGTCTAAGTGCACTCCTCCTCCTGCAGAGTTTGATGCTCTGGTCCGGCTGGGGATCCCTGAGCCCAGCAGCTATATCAAGAAGCGCTTCAAGTCCAGCAAGCTGCTGTTCCTCAGGGCGGCCTGCGTGGGGCAGGCTCTGGTGGACCAGGTGGAGGCATCTGT